AGACAGAGCCTCAAGCTGTCCCCCTGGGTAGAGTGCCCTGGCATCAAAGCTCACAGCAACCTCCAACTCCTGGGCTCAAGCGAGTCTCCTGCCTCTGCCTCTCAAGTAGCTGGGACCACAGGTGCCTGCCACAACATCTGGCTATTTTTTGGTTGCAGCCATCATTGTTGTTTGGCGGGCCTGGGCTGGATTCGAATTCGCCACCTTGGATGTATGTGGCTGGCGCCTTAGCCACTTGAGCCACAGGCACCAAGCCAACCCGATACCTTCCTAGCTGCATCTTCTTTTCTGCTATTAGTGCTTGAAGTTGCTGTTCTTGGGCTTCTCTCTGCTTAGCTGTAGATTTGAGCAGGTTTTGAGCACCGATGGCCTTCATTTTCTCGTTTTCTGCTGCTTTTGCAAGTCTGTTAACAAGCTCAATTAAACCACCGACTATTTTCTGAAACTGGCCAATTTTGTCAACAAAGTCCTTGCACTCTTCCTTGAGCTCTATGGTCTGCTGGGTAACCTCTGGGTCCAATACCCGAAGCTGATTCAGCTCATCAAACTGCAGCCCTGCTTCACCCGGGATGTCCTTGGCCATAGGTGTTTCCCTTGAGTTCACTAGAGAAGGTCTGCTCTGAAGGGGTGACAGTGGCAGTCAGGAAAGAATAAAGTCCAACTGCTTGTCATAGGCATCATTCATTCAACACGCATTTCTTGAGTGCCTACTATATGCCAACACTGCTAGATGCTGAGGGTACAAAGACGAATGCAACATGGTGCCAACCCTTGAGAAGCACATAGTTTAGCTGCCTGATCTGGTAGTGGTGGCACACTGTGGCCCAGGGTGATGTCAGCAGGTAGCTTCTCTCTGGTCAGTGGCAGCCGATGCCTGGCCAGCCAGCCTCGCTTGCTGCCACGGCTACACAATCTGCTTACCCATGATGTCACCACCTGACCTAAGAAGCATCTTTTGCCAAATTATAGAGAAAAGTTATATTCATAACACAACTCTTAGGTTCTAAATGTTTTCTGAATTCCACTGGAGAGAAGCCCTCCATACTTTTGTGTCCCTGTGGGATCGTTGTTTGTGGTAAAATCAGTCTGGTGTGGCTTCTTAAATTGTTATTCTCAGAATTCTTGCTGGGATTTCTGTGCTATGCCTATTAAAAGTTGCTTTATAGTCCACGCCTCATGCCTGTAATCCTAACACTGTGGGTGACTGAGGTGGTGGATTGCTTAAGTTCAGGAGGGAGACCAGCCTAAGCAAAAGTAAGACCCCATCTTTACTAAAAAGAGAAAAAAACTAGCTGGCATT